GCCTGGGGAGCGGTGGAGGCCGGAGGGGGTGCGGCCCGGATTATGTCACCTCTTCCCTCCGCGCCCCGCCCCCCGGGGCCACACGCGTTGGTGGGGAGCACCCGGAGGTGCGGGTGGGATTTCTACACCGCAGAGACCCCCGGCACCTTCTTGGGACCGCCTGTGGCCGGGGTCTCTCTGAGGCGCTGCGGGCCACGGGCTGTTGGTGAATGGCGAACACCCCCACCCCTCCGCGCGGAGACTCGTGTGTGCACGCGTGTGTGTGCTGGGGGGGCGCCGTCAGCCCCCACAGCCCTGAAGCGCGGGCCTCATCAGGACCAGGATCTAGAGGATGGGCCCCCTTCCCCCGTCGTCGCCAAGGGAAGATGGCTCTCCCCTCACACATCCCAACCAAGAAGTTCTGGAGACCTCTGCACCCCCAAAAGATTTACAGTGCCCCCGATCTCTTTTCCTCCTTGTCCTTCTTCCCAGAAGATCTCCCTGATTTTCCTCTCCGGATTCGTTGCCTCTCTGCATTGCTCATCACTAGCAATCCCACACACATTCGCTCTGCTTGTCCTCAGTGCCAGAGCCCAGGGACCCCCAGGGCTTCGCAGTCAGTGCCCCCTGGGCACCCACAGGCCAGTGCCAAGGAAGCCTCAGAAGAAATCTCCCCGAAGTATCCTGGGCCAAGAGCTCTAAGACCCCTTCCTGCCATGGGCAGTCAGGATGCTGTCCTGGGAAGCAGTATTTGGACTGGGCCTTGGAGGATGCAGATGGTTACAGGGATCTGGGAAGAGACTGTGTGTGGAGAGAAGGGCTCAGGTCAGGGGAAATAGGATGGGCAATGGGAAAGGCCTTGGGGGCCCTGCTGCAAGCTCTGCTCTGGTTCTCTGGGCTGAGAGGAATGCCAGGCATTTTACCCATAATACATATACTTCTTAAGATTCCTGTAAGGTAGGTGTGAGAACTTGAGGTGAGATAACCTGCACGCAGTTCCACCCCTAATTTATATTTGGAGCTGATGCATCCAGAACTCCGTCTAGTTTACTGCGCTTGGTGCTGCTCATGGAAGAATTTGGGCAGAACAGAGACAAGATCAGCTTTGCCCTTTAGAAAGATTCCCCTGGCAGTTGCTCGGGGGAGTGAGTGCAAGGGAAGAAAGGTCAGTGAGGAGCCCCCAGCAAGGGTGCTGGCAGGAGGAGCTGCTGTGCTCTTTAGGAGGTAAATGGGCCAAGCTTGGGACCTCTGAGACCCCAAGACAAGGTGGAGTGTTCCTAGCTTTGGGAGGGACACAGGTAGGGAGGGGCCAGTGGTCACTGTGGGTTGGAGGGACCTGCCCATGTAACCCACAGGTAGAGTCTACTTGACCCCTTTGTGACTGCTAATGTCCCAGGCACTGAGGGTTGATGGGACAGAGACAGAGGTAGAGTCAAGCAACAGGCTGCTATCCAGATTACTGAGCTGATGCCATGAGGCTGCCATTGCAGGTCACACTAGTCTCCCCGGGCCAGTTCAGGACTCTGACCCATAGATGAAGCTCAACTCAGTTTCTGCTTATCAGGGAAACATATGCCCCTCCTTGTCCTTTCAGCTCCCTGCTGGGGTTTTGAGGAAACAAGCTTGGAGTAGGCAAGAAGCAGGCAATGCTTGCATAGCGTTAACCATGACAGATTAGAATTATGGCAAGAAGCTCTTTGGGGAGTGAGGTTTGAGGGACAACTGCTTTGGGTTGGCAGTAAAGGATTTCCAGGTAAAGCAAGAGTATAAGAGATTTAGGAGACAGTCCTGGGACCTCATTTCCATCTAGAACTCTGGGGATTTGAGCCTGGCTGGGGACCACACACATACTCTAGGGAAACAGTGAGACAGAGTGGCATAAGACCAGCCCCAGCCCTATGGTCAGAGTCTTCTTTCCTGGATCTCAGAGAAGATAGTAGTACTGCATGCTTGTATTGCACCTTACAGTTTACAAAGCACCTTCCCAAACATTATCCTCCCCTGTCACGTTCATTATCAACATGATCATTTCTGAGGTTTGCTCATGCCCACACCCAGGCCTCCGGAGCAGCCCTCTTGCCTAGATCTCCGGTCTCACTATTGGCACCTTCCTTCAGCATATCAAAACACTTAAGTTTCTACCATGTTTAATTTTAAAATTAGAAGAAAGCCCTTGGATCCCAAACTACTTAAACGACTGCCTTCTTTGGCCTTCTTTTAGCAGGGAACCTCCTATCTTTTCTTCCAGACCCCTCTACTCCTGTAGTCTGGCTTTGCGAGCTAGTTGCTGGGCCTCACCCACACTACCCTTAAATGTTGATGATTTCTCTCTCTATCTCTATCCAATATGTGAGAGATATCTTTCTCTGGTCTTCCCCAAAGCACCTATTTCCCCCAAACATTCTCCCCCTGTCATGTTAAATGTGTCACACCCCAGCCCAGCTCCTCCCTTGCCCCCACCCCTGAACCCCATCTGCATGAAGTTTTGTCAGTTCTTCCTCCCAAATCCCACTGGTTCCAAGCCTCCCAGGCCTTCCTACTGGTTCCAAGCCTCAGGCCACTCAGCCTCCATCTTCCCAGTCCTCAGCTGCTCCCTACACTGTACCAGGGATGGTGAGAGAAGGGGGTCATGATTAGGATGGGAGGGGGATTTCTGAGCTGAGGGGTAGCCAGGTTGGTGTATGCTGGGAGTGGAGACAGAGCAGGGGCTAGGGTGAGGCATGAGAGGCAGGCACCTAGGGCACCAAAGTAAGGTCCTTAGTTTTTCTGGGACTGAACTTGCTGATCCTGCACTTCTATTGGACCCTATGGGGCAGATTTGGTGAAGAGAGGCAGGTGGTAAAGTGCTCCACACCTAGGGAGCAAACACTGAGAGAGTGGAGTTTCACAAAGGCAATGTGGACTGGCTTGCTGGTGAACTTTCCAACCACGTAGGGCTGTAATTCCAGGTGTGGTGGCCAGGAGACTCCTAAAGGGCAATTGTTTTGTCAGGCTCCCCTGGTCAGGGGCCTGATAGAATGGACACAATATTAGCAGTGGGCATCAGGGTAGAAGACAGTCTGAAAAGTGCTCAAGGGGCTTTGGGGTGCCACCAGGACCCCTTCATCTTGGTAGAGGAAGGCTCTCGGCGGGGTTTCTGATGGGAGTAAGGAGGTAAGGGCCTGAAGGGCACACGCATTTGAGCGTTTACACCGCTGGTAGACACTGCTTGCTGCCCCTGCCAAGCTGGATTATTGGGACCTCTGGGGCAGGTGTTCTCAGGTGCGGACTTAAAACAAAGGAACCAGGAAGCAGGGCCTCCCTAAGCACAGGTAACCCGAGGCCCTGCTGGCCCTGTTCCTGTGGGCTGGTCTTGGGGAGTGGGGGTGCACGCCCTCTGAGGGGTGCCGAGGACTTCAGAGTGCACTAAGCGGGGTCAAGGTCCACAGGGAGCGGGAGAGGGAAGTAATCCAGGAAGTCTTCCCGGAGGCAGTGAATTCTTAACGGAGTTCGGCCGCACGGAATCTTCCCAGGCGCGGCTGGGCGCGCAGGCCCCACCCATTCCCGCCCACCTGTGGGAAAGGCAGGCGCGCTGGGAGGCTTCGCGGGCGGCATTGCGTTCTCTGCCCCGGCCTCAGCCTGCTTGGGGGCCTCTGCGGTGGTACTGGACGCCGGGAGGGGGCCCTCCGTGCCAGGCCCCCGTGCGGCCCACTTGGGAAGACCTCAGAGAGGGCTCCTTTGCCGCGCGCTGCAGGCTTGGTTCCGGGCCGGCGGGGTGGGGGTGGGGTGCGGGGGCGTGCCCGTGGTGGCCCTGAGGTGCGCAGCAAAGGCAGCTGCTGCCCTCGCCCCCCAAGACCGCAGTCCGCTCTGGCGCCCGTCGCCTGGGGGCGTCTGGTACGTGGCGTCTCCTGGAGGTAGGTCCTTCATCCCTCCCATTTCACAGAGAAGAAAACTGCAGTCCGGGATGGCTCTGCCGGCCTGTCCAAAGTCGCACAGCTGGTTCTGGCTGAGCCCCGACCTCGAGAGTGAGGCACATGGCCCCTGCAGACCGGGCCCCCGAGGGTCCCAGGCTTGAGGACCTTTCGGCCCCCCCACCCCCTTGGAAACGAAAGAAGAGGAGCCTGCGCTGATACGGAACCTCCACTTCTGCCCTTGACTGCAACACCCTCGGTTAGGACCCCACCCACAATTTTTGGATAGGGGTGGGTTTCTCTCCCTCCTTTAACTTCTGAGGTTCCCCCTTGGATTGAGATACTGCTCTCCCCTTTCAACCCCATCTCCCTTCCCATGAGGTTGGGATGTCGGGGCCCAGTCCCAGGGTAAAGAACCCTAAGTTCTGGAGGTTGCAACAGTAAAGAATTGAGGGGGCCACTGAGTCTGGGAGGCTCACGGAGGAGGTGGAGTTGAGGCATGAAATACAGAGCTGAGCAAATCTGGGAGGGGATGACGTGCATGGGGCGCTGGGCTTGAGCTTTGTCAGGTGGGCAACGGGCAGCTCCCATTACCAAGCTCTCACTCTTACCCCAGCCCCATTCCTTCACCTTGGGTGTCTGGGAATTCTTGTATCTGTTGTAGGGAAGGGGACACTGAGAGGTAGGGTGCAGGTAGTGCTGGGGCTGACTTGGCTGTTGTGGTGTGGTGGGCATGGGGCTGGGTCTGACTGATCTCTGCTTTCCCACCTATGCCCAGGCTTAGTCATGGCGAAGCTGGAGACACTGCCTGTGCGCGCTGACTCAGGGCGGGATCCCCTCCTGGCCTTTGCCCCACGGCCCTCTGAGCTCGGACCCCCAGATCCTCGCCTGGCCATGGGCAGTGTGGGCAGTGGGGTTGCCCATGCCCAGGAGTTCGCCATGAAGAGCGTGGGCACCCGCACAGGGGGTGGGGGCGGCCAGGGCAATTTCCCTGGCCCTCGAGCTGGTGGCAGTGGGGCCAGCAGGGAGAGGCCAGGCCGCTACCCCTCTGAGGACAAGGCTCTCGCCAACTCCCTCTACCTCAATGGCGAGCTGCGGGGCAGTGACCACACAGATGTCTGTGGCAATGTGGTGGGCAGCAGTGGTGGCAGCAGCAGTAGTGGTGGCAGTGACAAGGCCCCACCACAGTATCGTGAGCCCAGCCACCCACCTAAGCTCCTGGCCACCTCCGGCAAGCTAGACCAGGTCAGTACCCAGGGTCTTTTTCTGGAGATGGGAGGTAGCCCAGAGAGGAGGGTGAAGTGGGCCCGGCTGGTGGGTCCAGGGCAAAGACTTGGCTTGGGTGGGCCATGAGGTAGAGACCCAGCTAAGTGGCTCCTGGGATGGAAATCGATGGGGGTGAGAAGTGGAGCTGAAAAGTCTTGGCCAAAGGGAAGAGGCTGGGATCAAGGCTAAGGCCTCACCCTGATGCCCACTCCCCCTTCCTTGCTTTTACACAGTGTTCAGAGCCGCTGGTTCGGCCTTCAGCCTTCAAGCCTGTTGTACCCAAGAACTTCCACTCCATGCAGAACTTGTGTCCCCCACAGAACAGCGGGACCCCTGAGGGACGACAGGGCCCTGGTGGCCTCAAGGGTGGACTGGACAAGTCTCGGACCATGACCCCAGCGGGCGGGGGTGGGGGCAGCCTCTCAGACTCAGGCCGGAACTCACTCACAAGCCTGCCCACCTACAGCTCTAGCTACAGCCAGCACCTGGCGCCCCTCAGTGCCTCCACCAGCCACATCAACCGCATTGGCACTGCCGGCTATGGTAGTGGCAGTGGCAGTGGTAGTGGCAGCAGCGGTGGTGGGTCAGGCTACCAGGACCTGGTGACCTCTGACAGCGGGCGGGCCTCCAGCAAGAGTGGGTCCTCCTCATCCATGGGGCGGCCTGGCCACCTGGGATCGGGAGAGGGCGGAGGTGGAGGCCTGCCGTTTGCGGCCTGCTCACCACCCTCGCCCAGTGCTCTGATCCAGGATCTAGAGGAGCGGCTGTGGGAGAAGGAGCAGGAGGTGGCAGCACTGCGACGGAGCCTGGAGCAGAGTGAGGTGGCAGTGGCCCAGGTGCTGGAGGAGCGGCAGAAAGCGTGGGAGCGGGAGCTGGCCGAGCTGCGGCAGGGCTGCAGCGGGAAGCTGCAGCAGGTGGCCCGCCGTGCCCAGCGAGCCCAGCAGGGCCTACAGCTGCAAGTGTTGCGGCTGCAGCAAGACAAGAAGCAGCTGCAGGAGGAGGCAGCCCGGCTGATGCGACAGCGGGAAGAGCTCGAGGACAAGGTGGCCGCCTGCCAGAAGGAGCAGGCCGACTTCCTGCCCCGGATGGAGGAAACTAAGTGGGAGGTGCGGGTTGGGGGCTTGGGCTTTCTCCCTGTCTCCTCTCCCTTCTGTCCCTCTGGAGAAACCCAGAACAGTAGGCCATCACGATCACAAGGGGAGTGAAAGTTGGGGGGGGGGCACAAGATTGATTAGGAGTGTCTGTGAGGACCAGAGCTGTCCCTGGGTTGGGTGGGATTGGCCATGTATGTCCTGAGTCGGAAGAGGGGGCCTAGTGTGTCACTTCTGCCCAGCCTGATGCCCTGGAGAAGTGTGGTACCTCTGGGGCTGGATATGGAAGCTGGGGTGAGGTGAGCAGAGCTCTGCCTTCACCCCAGCTTTTCCCACCCAACCCTGCCCAGGTGTGCCAGAAGGCCGGGGAGATTTCCCTCCTGAAGCAGCAGCTGAAGGACTCGCAGGCCGATGTGTCCCAGAAGCTGAGTGAGATCGTGGGGCTGCGCTCCCAGCTGCGGGAGGGCCGCGCCTCGCTGCGGGAGAAGGAGGAGCAGCTGCTCAGCCTGAGGGACTCGTTCAGCAGCAAGCAGGCCAGCCTGGAGCTGGCCGAGGGTGAGCTGCCCGCCGCCTGCCTCAAGCCGGCGCTGACCCCGGTAGACCCCTCTGAGCCGCAGGATGCCCTGGCCACCTGTGAGAGCGACGAGGCCAAGATGCGCCGGCAGGCGGGGGTGGCCGCCGCCGCCTCCTTGGTCTCCTTGGACGGGGAGGTGGATGCTAGTGGGGAGAGCGGGACGAGGGCCCTGCGGCGGGAGGTGGGCCGGCTGCAGGCCGAGCTGGCAGCTGAGCGGCGGGCTCGGGAGCGCCAGGGGGCCAGCTTCGCAGAGGAGCGCCGCGTGTGGCTGGAGGAGAAGGAGAAGGTCATCGAGTACCAGAAGCAGCTGCAGCTGAGCTACGTGGAGATGTACCAGCGCAACCAGCAGCTGGAGCGGCGGCTGCGCGAGCGTGGGGCTGCGGGGGGTGCCAGCACACCCACCCCCCCGCACGGCGAGGAGAAGAAAGCCTGGACCCCCTCCCGCCTTGAGCGCATTGAGTCCACAGAAATCTGATCCCTAATCTGGGCATGCGGACTTTTGACAAATGCCCTGTCAAAGGCCAGAGTCCCCAATATCCCCTCCCGTCACCTCTCTTCCCCACATTTCCCATATCCCCAGACCAAAGAGGTTCTCAAAGCAGCTGTGACCAGGTCCCTCCCCTCCCTTCACTGAGTGCCCTCCTAGCTCTACCACTGCCCCTCTGGGCAACCCACTGGGACCCTCCTCCCTAGGAGAAGACAGGGAGAAGGCAGAGCGTGTGGGGACTAGGGGCCCAGGCTTCATTTGTTGGCACTCCCTTGTTGGAGATGGAGGTGGCAGGCCTGCAGAGCCATGAGGTGCCCCAGCCCCTTGTTGGTCTGGGCTGCTACTGTTGGCCACCCTGGGTCCAGTGATGTTCTCTGTGCTCACCTCATAGGCCATGTAGCCTGAGGGGGCCTGCATAGGGTCTGCTGAAACTGAGAGACCTTGGGTTCCTGGCCTCTCTCCTTCCTGCAGTTTTCTCCCTTTCTGGGCAGATTGGCAGGACAAGTGGGAGCAGATGGCCTGCCTGTGGTTGAGAGGGCTACCTGCCCAGCCCCTCCCCACCAAGGTCTCTTGGGCTCAGGCCTTAGAGCCTGGCTTGGTCTGAGTGTGTGTCCATATGTGTGTTGGGAGGGAAGGGCTGGGGCTGGAGGCTGTGTCCAGGAAAGATTTGCCCTCCTGTTCCTGGGAAGGGTCACCTGGAGGCTTCTAAGTTCTCCCTCCCTACCCTCACCCCCTCTTTCTGGCCAGAATCCAAGGGCAATAGTCTCATCTGCTTGGCCTACCCCATACTGAGGGCCACTGTCTGGTTCTAACTACAGCTATTAAGTGCTACCTGCCTCTCAGGCACTCCCCTCACCCAGTTCCTGAGGTCATGAGTGTCTGTGATGTCTTGCCCTCTGCATTCCCCCAGCCTCCTGCTTTCAGCTCAGAACATCATTGTCCCAGGCCACCTCTTCCCCCAAAACTCACCTTTTCTTCCAGTAGAAAAAAAATTCTGCTTGATATTTGGTGCACTGCCCACTTCCAAGCTCCACTGGGCCCAAGCCTGAGCCTTTGTTTTGGGGGCTGGGGGGATGGTTGAGATTGCCCTTAAAAAACAAGGCTGACCTTAGAGGAACACTGACCTTTGGGTTCCCAGGGTCCTGAGGTAGCCCACCGTTTGCCTAGGGTAGGCCTGTCATGGCCATCAATGGGGGTTGGGGCAGCCAATGTGACTTTCTCCTCCATGGGCCCTCTCAGAGTCCATCTGCCCAAGATAGGAAGGGAAAAGCAAATTTCTAATTCACCAGCAATAAAAATTGGAGGAGGCTTGGCCCTTAGCCCTTGTATTTCTCTCTTTTCACTCTCTTCCTCCCACCCCCAAGACTAGGTTTGGGGACAGGGTGGAGAGAGCTGGCAAGTACTGTGAGCAAGTCCTCTAACCCCTGACCAGCCTCCTCCCATGACTGGTGACTGTTTAACAAGCTGTGTCCCCCCCATGAAAACAGAGTGCCCCTCTGTGTGGCCTCTATCTTTGCACAGCCCCTTCCGGTGGCCCTCACCAAATCTCTGAACTGGGTTAGGAGGCCATCCTGGCAATCACTGCCCATTTCACTCACCCCTCAGTGTACCTGTCCCAGAACCTGGGCTGGGCCAGAGGGGCAGGAGGAAGAGAAGGCATTAGTAGGAAAAAAAAAAAAAAAAAAATTAACACTCAGCTTTGGGACTTCCAACCACAAAAGAAATTATATATAAATATATATAAATATATATATCTACCATATGTGATGAAAAGACTTTGTTTTCTTTTCCCAAAGAAATAAAATGGAGAAAGCCTCTTGAGTGGCATTCTTTGGCCTGTTTGTGTCTTTGCAGGTGAGGGGAGTGTGGAGGGCAAAGCTGGAGTAAACAGATTTCCCAGAAGAGGCATGAGACTGGAGGTGCTCACTGGGCCATGCCAGGAGTTTGGCTCAAAGCCCAAGCTCCTCCATGTTTCCCAGGAGGAGTTGTGGTTCCATGTTTCTGCCCAGTGGAGCTGTCTCTTTAGAGTTTCCAGCTGGTTCCAGTTCAGAATCTGGACAACAGACTGCTGTCCAGAAGGAAGGTGATACAGAACAGCTAGATGCAGCCTGCAGTGGCCTGAGCTACCCCAGAGCAATGGGCTGATGTTTGAGGGCAGAATACATAGTAATGAAGGCTGAGAACCAGTCTGTAATTAGTGGTGAGACCCAAAAGGCAGAAGGGACACAAGCTTGCTGCAAGCAGGCAGCTGTCCTTTGAGGGCAAGTGCTTCCTTTACGGTTTTTCTGGCACCCTTACAAAGCTCCCCAGTCAAGAATGTATTACATGCCCTGGCCTGTGTGACACAGTTGGTTGAGGATTGTCCCATGCATTGAGAGGTCACCAGTTCGATTCTAGGTCAGGGCACATGCCTGGGTTATAGGCTTAATCCCCAGTAGAGGGGGTTCAGGAGACAACCAATCGATGTTTCTTTCTCTCGCTCTCCTTTCCTCTCTGTCTAAAATCAATAAAAACATTTAAAAAAATCTTTTAGATTTTTAAAAAAATGTATTACACTACAAGTAACCTGATTTACAGGACCTTAAAGAGTGGTTTATTTTTTTTCTTACCCTACAAGTCTGGTAGGCATCCAAAGTGTCATCGGTGTTGGTTCATCAAGGTCCTAGACTGTTCATCCTACTCTCCTATTCTTGTTGTTTCCATCATGCCACAAGGTGGCTGCCACAGCTCCATGAAGGCATTGAGGCAGCACTACTTTATCATGAAAGTAAAAGCTTTCCCAGAACCTACTAGCACATTTACCTTTAAATTTTCTTAGGCCTGACTGCATGTTCTTCCCACTTCAAGGGAGGCTGGGACATTGAGTATTCGTATTAGGCAAAGAACAATAGGATTGTGGTTCATCCCCTGGGGATGACCACTCTGCTCTCTCTCGGGTCTGCTGGCAAAGACAGAGTCATAATCAACAACTAACTGTGTGCCTTGGTCTGGCCGGTGTGAGAGACCCCCTCCCTGAGCAGTGGTGTCAGTGGCCTGGGGCCCCAAATGTTCACACCCAGGCAAACAGTGCCCTCTGCAGATCTCAGGATTTGGGATGCCAAGCTTGCCCACATCCCCCTAGCAATGAAGTATCCTGCCTACATTACTTTTGTCTCCTGGACAAGATGGTGCCCTGGAGGGAGTACCAATTCTCAGGTCCCCTTCATAACCCTTAAGATGAGTGGAGGAGCAGGAGCAGTCAAGGCACTGACAAGGTATTACGTACGACCTTGTCAAGCAGCTCTCCAGTGCCTCCAGGAAAGGCTATCTGGGGCCAGGCCCTCCTGGAGGATCTCAGTGGAGCCTCTTCCTTGCCTAGTTTTTCCCATACCGACTCAGGTCTGAGCCCCCCTACTTAGGGAGGTGGAGGATCACCTGGATCACCCTGGCTCATCTATCATAGAATAGCACTGGCCCCCTCAAGTTCCAGCTCCTCCTCACATCCATTTCTCCTCGTCTACTCTGCTTCTCTTGGGAGCACTTTATGATTACATCTATCTTAAAAAAAAAAAAAAAAAATCTTTGATTTCAGAGAGAGGAAGGGAGAGGGAGAGATAGAAACATCAGTGATGAGAGTCGTCATTGATCAGCTGCCTCCTGCACGCCCCCTGCTGGGAATGGAGCCCGCAACCCGGGCATGTGCCCTGACAGGGAATTGAACCACATCTCCTGGATTCTAGGTCGATGCTCAACCGCTGAGCCACGCCGGCCGGCGATTACATCTCTTTTAAATGCATGATTACCCTCATTGTACAGACGAGAAATTAGGCTTAGAGAATTTAGGTAACTTCCCCAAGGCCATAAAACCCTGAATGGCGGTCGGGATTCGAACCTGTGTCTTAGCTATTCAATTACTTCCAGGGCTGTGCGTCCACGTCGGCGTTTCCCCTCCGCAGGTCCTAAATTCCCCTCGACTCCTCAACATCGTCCTCTAGTGGGAAACGTCCTTGAAAAACGCTGACAGGGTCTTTTGAGCCTCGGCCGTACCCGTCATTCTCGCTGCAGCCGGAAGTAGCGGGCAGTTGGCCGGAAGTAGGGCTGCGAGGCCCGGGTGTACCGGGAGGAGTAGCCTTGGTGCTGCAGTCCGCATGATCTGGGATCTGTAGTTGTGGTTCCCGCGCTGGCCGGCCCAGGTGAGTGGCGGAGGCCGGGGGGAAGGTCATGCCGGCCGCTCGTACTGACCTGGGCTGTGACCCACGCCTCCGGGCCGGTCCAGGGCCGGCGCGCGCAGAGGCCCGGCTCTGCGCTGCCCCGTCCCGGTGGC